CTATGGTCACAGGTTGCCCCGCCCACTTTCCTCTTTCTCATTCTCCAATATGAGTGAACAGCCCACAATCATCGGACATTTGCAAAAGGCCTCTAATTGGAAATCCAGAGAACAAAAGCCAACACACAGCATACAAATGGAAAAACAAGCTATTATGAGGAAAGAAACAATACAGAGATTATGAGACATTTTAAATTTTGAAAATGCATAACTTATAGCCTCTTATTCAAGCTGTTCTGAAAAGAAATAGAATATCCTATTTAATGGAGAAGTTTATTGGTTGGTTTATGCATTTAGTTCCATTGAAAACTTGATATTTGCTATGCTCTCTTGATGAATATACTTTTATTACTATTATCCTTTTTAAAGTGAGAAGGCTATATGATTAAGATTCATTATAAAAATTCATATTCTATAAAAAGACAATTTAATTAGAGATAAATATTCTAAAACTGTATGAGATTATATGTTAACACCTTTCACGGTGTATATTATTTCGTGCCAAGACAATTCAAAGGGAAAAGAATAGTCTTTAAACACATGGTTCTGGCACAACTGGATATGCACATGCAAAATAATTCAGTTGGACCCCTAGCTCATACTATATACAAAAATTTCATTTAAAATAGATCAAAAACCTACATTTAAAAGCTAAAAATCTAAAAGTCTTATAAAAACATAACTTTTCATTACCTCGGATTTGGCAATGGATTGTTAGATATGACATCCAAAGCGCTATGAGCAAAATAAAAAGTACATATGTTGAACTTAATCAAAACTTTAGAAATTGTGCTTCAAAGAAAACCATCAAGAAAAAGACAGCCTAAAGGGGTGAGAAAATATATCTTTTCATCAGATATCAGGTATCTGAGATATCTAATACAGGACTTGTATTCAGAATATGCAAAGAACCCTTATATCTCAAATTCCCTAATTTAATAATGGGAAAAGGATTTGAATAGACATTTCACCAAAGAAGATATACAGATGACTAACAAACAGATGAAAATATTTTCAACCAAAACCATTGATCATTAGTGAAACACAAATCAAAACCTCAGGAAGCTATGACTTCACACTCACTATATTGGCTAAAATAAAAAAGACAAACAATAACATGTGCTGGAGAGGATGTGGAGGAATTGGAACCCTCATACATTGCTGTTGGAATTGTCAAATAATGCAGCCACTTTGGAAAACAGTTTGGCAGTTCCTCGAAATGTTAATAATGGAGTTATCCAATTACCCTGTAACTCCACTCTGAGGTATACACTGAAGACAATTGAAAACATATGTCTGTACCAAACCTTATATATGACTATTCATAGCAGTAATCTTTGTAATAACAAAAAAGTGAAACATCCCAAATGTTCATCAACTGATAAATGGACAAATAAAATGTGGTATACCATACAACAGAATATTGACAATAAAACAAAATGATGTTCTGTTACAACATGAATTAAACTACAAACATTGTGGTAAGTCAAAGAAACCAGTCATGAAGGGCCACATATTTTATGATTAAAATGTTCACAATGTTCAAATCCATAGAGACAGAAAACAGATGAGTGGTTTCTACCACTAAGTTGTATTAGTAATAGTGGTACTAGGTCTTAGTGGTACATGGGGAGGGGGGGGGGAGTATTGCCATTGTATATGGAGTATCTCTGGGGGCTGACGAAACCTTTCTAAAATTAGACACTGGGATGACTGTACACTCTGTGAATAGCAAATGTCACTGAACTGTATATTTTAAAAGGGTGAATTTTATGGCATGTGAATTATATCTCAATAAAATATAAAATGATTTTTTTCTAGTCCTTTCAACCAATCCTGTATTATTAAAAAATTTACTTGTGGTTAATTTGAGGATGGATATTTCCAATATGGCTACTCTGTCTCTTTCCTTTTTATTTGGTTTCTTTGCCTGCTGTGTACTCCAGTGAAATAAAAAACCCAGCTCTCCTCACATGTAACCACTCTATTTCCATTTGAAAGTGTTGACTCACCTTGTTTCCTCATGAGGAAAGCCTTCTCCCCCCCCCCCCTTATCTTTACAGTGGAAACCCTCGTTGAAATGTCACCTCTTTATACAGCTTACTTCATTTCACCAAATGTAAATACTTTTCACAAATTCATGCTACTATAAACACTTAGTATCTCTCATCACTGTCATTAGATTCTGATTTTGTTATTATAAGCTACACAGTAAATTTTGAATTAAATAAAAATATTTTTCATGAATATTTACTTAAAGAAACACTCAGCAGTCTTCAATTCTCTCACCTCAAAATTGAACCAATATTTACAGGAACAGCATTGACTTCTCTTCAATCCTTTAATTCCAGCATGTTCTCACAGTTCCGAAATGCTCAGGAAAGAAAGGCAGGTCGTTTTTACAGCCACATTGATTCAACAATCTTATTTTTCTTCTATGAGAGCCAAGGCAGAGCTTAAGTGTAATTGTTCAGGGACTGTGTTTGTGTAACTGTTGTATAGGGTCAGTCATCTGTCTAAAATATGAACTGGACAACCTTCAAATGGCAATTACTTCAATTCTTTTGGGATTTGAATTGGCCATAAAACTCACAATAAATTGTCATGTATGTAGTGATTTCCTGTTGGCAACTTCCATGCACTTTACAAATATATCTCAACTTAGATGGAAAAGATCATTATTACCATTCAAAGATTGAGAAACTGTAACACAGAGCCATTAAAGTATTGAGCAAGGTCAGAGAATATATGATCAGTGAAAATGAAAATATCCTCAAGTTCCAAGCTTTGGTCTATCTGCCAGGAGACATATTTCTTGGTAAACATGTATAGCTTTGCTCTGGTTTTCTGAAAATATCAAGCAAGCTCTTTAGAAATGATGTTTATGTTCACAAACTAAATACTTGAAATTACTTTATAATACAGTTAGTGCTATTTTTTTTTAATTAACTTTCCAAATGGGGAGTTGGCATCTGTGAGATTAACAAATTCATTACATGGACAGCTTACCAGTTCTTTATACATACCAGACTCATTCTTGTCCAAAAGTCTTTTTGAATTCCCTTTTTCCTATGCCATGAACAATCTTCTCAGCTTGTTCCCTTACCCTCTTTAATAAAATGTCACTTTTTTTTTCAGTATGATCTTCCTTTGTACTCTATTTAAAATTTTAATGTCATCTTCACACTTCCTATCACCTACCTTCCCCTGCTTTATTTGTATTTGGCACTTATCACTAATGTACCATATATTTTTTCTATGTATCTATCTATCATCCATCTATCTATCTATCTATCTATCTATCTATCTATCTATCTACCTATCTATCTATCATCTATCTATCTATCTATCATCTATCTATCTATCTATCTATCATCTATCTATCACCTATCTACCTGTCATCATCATCATCTAGCTATACTTATTATTATTTTTCTATCTTTCCTTATTAGAAGGCACAGATTTTTATCTGTCTTATTTGCCAGTGTCTCTACAGTGCCGAAAACCATGCCTGGCAAGTGGACTCAGTGCCCACATCCCCTTTACAATTCCACCTCAAGCAGATAGAACAGTGTTGGGCTCTTTGGCATTCCAATTGCAGGGAAGTGCTACACCAGTATACATGGAAGTGTGCTGCAAAAGTCTACTGCCCATTATGGATACACACTAGTATTTTCAAACATAACTGAACTAAATGAATTCCTAAAGGCAGAACAAAGGTATATTACAATTTTTCAGAGACTAAATAATTTCCTGAACAAGTAAACCTTGGTGCATATGTTAACAGAAAGAACATAAATAAAAATCTCACAGTTGGGTGATTTTAAAATATACTTTTTTAATTATGTTTTCCCATGAAGGCATGGCTCAGGTAACCAAGAGATTGTTCTCTGTAAATACTTCCATATAAAAATCAAAGCAATCCAGAAAGACAGATCATGACTCTAAAATATGGTGTAGTAAATGGAATTAAAATTTTATATATCTTTAAATTAAAAAAAAAAAAAAAAGAATAAACAATTAAAATGTGGCAGTGGAAAGAGTAGAGAGCCCTGGCTGGTTTGGCTCAGCAGTTAGAGTATCCACCTATGGACCAAAGTGTCATAGGTTCGATTCCAGTAAAGGGCATGTACCTCCATTGAGGTTCAGTCGCTGGCCCTGGGTGGGGTTGTGCAGGAGGCAACCAGTCGATGTCTTCCTCTCACATCAATGTTTCTCTCTCCCTCTTTCTTTCCTTCCTTTCTTCCTTCCTTTCTTTCCTTCTTTCTTTTCTTTCTTTCTTTCTTTCTTTCTTTCTTTCTTTCTTTCTTTCTTTCTTTCTTTCTTTCTCCCTCCCTCACTTCCTCCTTCCCTCCCTCCCACTCTATCTGAAAATCAATTAAAAAATATCCTTAGGTAAAGATTAAAAATAAATTTAAAAAAAAAAGGGGTAGAGAGAAGGAGTGCAAGGTAGAAAAGTAGTAAAACTGAAAATTCAATATCATACAAGGCGAAGAAACCGTATCCTATTTGATTGTGTCCTTTTTCAAGTGGCTTTATTAATCTTGCTTAAAATGAGAGCTATGGAAAGATATTTTATTCAAAAATAGATCTCTTAAAAACAAAATCTGAAAGTCCCAGGCTCTGTGTGTGTTCAAGTAGAAAATATACCCCCAAACTATTTTCTTAAACTAGACCCTTTAAGACAATCAGAAACACAACTCCAAAAGTTAACTTACTTTTGATTTTTAAATTCTCACTATAAGTATGAAAGAACATAGCATTTTAGAAATCAGCCATGTAATTTTGATATTAATTGTTATCAGATTCTCCCAGCAAGTTTTTTAAAATAATTTTTTCATACAGTTATAAAATTGGAATATAATCTGATTATAAGAAGTATAAGAAGCCCCTCTAGTGAAGATGGCGGCTTTCTAGCGTGTGGGAAACCCAGTCGGAGGGAGGCTTAGGCTACAGATTCTGGCTTCCCCATCTCTGCTTCATCCAGCCACTCAGGAGTCATGAAGGTGGTAGAACCCAGCAGTCCCACTGGAGAAGAAGAGGAGGAGGAGGAATTTAATCCTCCTCTGGGAGCTGGCCCCAAGCCCTGGCAGGTGCCCCCACCAGCCCCTGAGGTCCAGGTGTGGACACCAAGGGTCAACTGTCCAGAGAAGGTGATAATCTGTCTGGACCTGTCAGAAGAAACGTCACTGCCAAAATTGGAGTCGTTCAATGGCTCCAAAACCAATCAATGCTCTCAATGTCTCCCAGAAGATGATTGAGATGTTTGTGCAGACAAAACACAAGATTGACAAAGGCCATGATTTTGCACTGGTGGTTGTAAATGATGACACTGCTTGGCTGTCCGGCCTGACCTCTGACCCCCATGAGCTCTGCAGCTGCCTCTATGACCTGAAGACAGGCTCCTGCTCCAACTTCAAAATGGAAGGTCTCTTCAACCTCATCCAACAGAAGACTGAGCTGCCAATCACGGAGAATGTGCAGACAATCCCACCCCCATGTGTGGTCTGTACCATCCTTGTCTACAGCCGCCCACCCTGCCAGCCCCAGTTCTCCCTGAATGAGCCCATGAAGAAAATGTTCCAGTGTCCATATTTCTTCTTCGACATTGTTTATATCCACAATGGTGCCAATGAAAAGGAGGAGGAGATGAGCTGGAGGGACATGTTTGCCTTCATGGGCAGCCTGGATACCAAGGGCACCAGCTACAAGTATGAGGTGGCACTGGCCAGGCCAGCCCTCGAGCTGCACAACTATATGGCTAAGCAGCTGGCTCACCCATTACAACAGCCCTGCCAGAGCCATGCCTCCTACAGCCTGCTGGAGGAGGAGGATGAAGCCACTGAGGTTGAGGCCACTGTCTGAACCATCCCTGTGAATCCAACCTTGTACAATGAAACCCTTGGCTTAGAGTGCTGGTTTGTTTGTTTTTTAATATTTTTTTATCGATTTTTTTAGAGAGAGGGAAAGAGAGAAACATCCAAGTGAGAGTGATACATAATTGGCTGCCTCTTACATGCCCCATACTGGGGATTGAGCCCAAAACTCTGGACATGTGCCTTGACTGGGAAACCAACAAGGACCTCTCAGTCCCTGGGCTGATGCTCAATCCACTGAGGCATACTGGCCGGGCTAGAGTGCTGGTTCTTAAACTCTGCTCCATGGGACCCCTGGTGGACTTCAAGGAAGCACTCGGTTACTTCAGAGCCCTGGAGGGGAAACCCATGATTCCAGGAAGCATCCCAGGGTCTGTGGACACCCCCCCATGTTTCCCAGCCCATATTGCTCCCCAGTTTGTCAACTGTAATTTGTTCTTCTGTGTGATTTCTATCATTAGAATAAAAAAATGATAAAAAAGAAGCCCTTCTAAATATGACTGGAATAAGTAAAACACTTTTCGCTGCTGTAACAAGGTAAGACAAACTTGATGTAAAAGACCTTGCTATCTATAATAACCTAGAGAAATTAGTATCCAAATGCAAATTATACTCCTATGTTTGAAAGAATTTATAGAATTCCTTGGAATCTGAAGAAGCATTCCAGTGGCTATCAAATCACAGGTTAAGATATGGTGGAAAATTAGAAAAAATAAAATGTGTTCTCATATCAAATTTTGTTTTCTGGTGACTTTGCATTCAACAATGGCAAGTAAATCTTCTTTTCCAATATTTAGTTTATCTTTCAAAAAATTCAGAAAAGTTATGAGAATCAGATGAATTTCTCTTTTTCTTTTATGTAAGTTTTTCTTCCTTTAATATGCTAAAAACTGAGTAGCATTTTTATCTTGATGCATCAGAATTAAAAAGATATGTTCAATAGGGAGTCTAGTCACTTCTCAAGTAGATCAGACTACAGGAATTTTGCATGTTAGCACGACAAGAAAGTAAAATATGAGAATGAAGTTTTCTGAAAAAGGACATTTTCAGACAGCAGATCACATTTACCACATATACAGATGAGAAGTCAAAGCAACTAGAGTTTGAGAGGGTGGTATAACAGATGTTGAGAAAACTGTGGTCAAAATAGAGCACGCTCAGTTCAAAAGTTCAGCACAGTGTAGAAACACCCTACATGAACAGAAGTTCCAAAGTACAGGAACCAGAAGGAACCCTAGTTTCTAAAACTGGGCAAAGCAGTAAGTTAGGCTTACAGAAGGGAGATGGGAAAGAAGACATGAGTCACCTGGGGGCTGAGAAATAGTATTGCAGAACATTTCTATTCAGTTAGTGAATATTTTCTTTGGGTAAATAGAAATCCAGTTCCAGAAGTCCCAGAAATTGGTAGGTAAAGCAGTTAGGTCACTTCTTGAGGACAGGATTTACCATGCCCTTCTCTTTAGTCCCTAGGGCACACCATGCCTACTGTATACGTGGCACTCAATAACTGTTTGCCGACTACGAGCCACAAACCAGGCTGCTGGAAGTCAGAGTCCAGCCTGCACAGCACTATCCTCTGCACCGCTCAGGCATGATGCACGTCACTGCCCAGGACTGTCTGCTGAAGGGGTCACCGCCGTGGCAGTCTTCAAACACTGTCATGACAGATGAATTCTGTGAGGTTTTCAGGGTGTGGGTGTGTTCCCAGCGGGCTCTGAAATTGCTTACAAGGCTTGTAAACCCGACCCACTCCAATAGGTAGTTTTCAGTTCTTAGTCTCCGACTGAAAACTGGTTGCCAAACGTATTTCTCACTGGTGCTCTAAAACTCGGCTTATTGGTCATGCTGTTTATTAGATAATAAAATTAAATTTTAAAAATGTTTTTCTCCCAGTAAATTTTATTTTCTGATCCTCTTTTAATTGCCTTCTACTTAGAACTTTTGTATTCTGAATTTATATGAATTGCAAATAATTTCTTAGATTGAAGAGTAATGCCACTCAGAAATGTAAACCTAAAGCCACGTTCAAACACCTGAGCCCTGTGGCTTATTTGAGGGCAGTACCAAGGAGCTGAGGTGATGAGTCATGTGCTCAATTGTCACTCTAGCCAATTATCATCACACTCCACTCTTATCCCAGCATCATTTAGCAGATATACACTGTTTGCCATAAATGGCTTATGGTACAGAATGTGGAAGAAAAGAGTAAAAACGTACTATCACTAAAGAAAAAAATCAAGTTAATTTTTATTCAATTTCCACTGAATCATTAATCTATAGATAGATTTTGAAATAGAAGAGGACTCAAAAAGTGGTAAAATAATTAATAAAAGCTTTTTCTTCTAAATAAATAATGTTATAGATGTTTGCAGTAAATTGAAAGCATACTCTCAAAGTAAGAAAACTGATAAACCTTGCTAAATTTATTTTAGAAAACCCTGTCTAGTTTATTTTATATTCTCTACAACAATGGATTTTATTAGCTAAAGAATTAGTAAAACATTTTTCTTCTTCAAATATTCTAATATTTTTTTCTAACCACAATATTCAAACCCAAAGGTCTGATTATAACCTGGCAAAAGTCCCTAATTAAGGTGCTGAATATCATCCCAGTTCCATTATCCTGAATTCTCTATATTTTTGTGGTTTCTCTCTGTGTCAGGACCTAGAGAGGATCTGACCGGTAAGGCAAGATCATCCTGTCGGGAGCATCCTGACCAGCCCGCACAAGCGCGGCTTGGTGAGTGTTACCAATCACCTGTCAGACAATACTTTCAGTGTGCAACGAAGCACAGCTGAGCCACTTTGTTATATGAAAACAAATGATTCACTGGCAAATAAACCTAAAAAAATCAAATAGACCGAACCTGGAAGTATACTGCAAGTGGCTCAGATGGAAAAGATAGCACAACATGTCACGTGGATTTTAATCAGCAGGTAGTGTGGACTGGAAAAGAAACAAAAGGTAATTTCCTTTCAACTTTCCTAATAAATAACAATGCTTTATAAACAAAAGGTTTTGGTAGAGTGATTAAGATTTGTTCCAGTTTTGTGAGGTCAGTTTCAAGGGCATATAGTCTAAATTCATTTCTTTCTCTCTCTCCCTTATCCTCCCTCTCCCTCTCTCCTAATATAGCTAGTTTGAAAATGAAGTCCTGCACATAGGTATGGGAGCTTGGAAGCAAAAGATAATGCAAGTGTATCTGGATACTGTGAGTTGATTCTGCCCCCTCAAAATGCATATGTCGAAATACTAACCCTCTGTACCTCAAAATGTGACTGTATTTAGAAACAAGGTTTTTAAAGAGGTAACTAAGTTAAAATGAGGTCATTTGTAAGGAACCTAATCCAATATGACTTGCATCCTTATGAGAAGAGGAGATCTAGACCCAGATACATACAAGGACAGAGGACATGATGACACAAAGGAGGCAGCCATCTACACGCCAACGAGAGAGGACTGAAGTAGACTCTGCTCTCGGAGCCTCAGCAGGAACCAATCTGGATAACACCTTGATCTTGGACTTTTGGCCTCTGGAACTGTGAGAAAATAAATTTCTGTTTGAGCCACCCAGTTTTTAGTGCCTTTTTATAGTATTCCTAGCGAATTATTACAATGGGTTCCTTCAGGATTCATTCTTTATCCAGCAACTGTGGGGCCCCCCAGTTTTTCCAAATGAGATGACCTCACCTTGGGGTCAAAGCACTGGTTTCTGCTGCAGAAAGTACTGGTGCCTACATGGAGCTGCTGGAGGCAATTTTGCAAGCAAGGCATGACATTGGCCTCCTGAATATTAGTTTATCCGCAGAATCTGGCGTTTCATATCCCTTTGGAAAAAAATCTGGAAATTTAAACTTGTCGTTAGTTTAAAAGGCACCTATATCCACATAGGTGACAAAGTCCAAACAAAACTGTTTCCAGAGAAATAACAGAGTGGGGATTGATTACAGTGGCAGATTACTGCGCCACCCCTAACATCCAGAGGTGGAGATTGTTTCTCGACTCACTAAATCTGTCTGTGCCAATTGAATACAATGTCAGTGATATATGTCAGTTCCAGTCTCATCTTAATAGGGTTGATGGCTTCCGCTTCCTCGTTTTTGAAAGGGAATCACCATGTAAAAAACCCAACCCCTGAGACTGCCATGCTGTGAGGAGCCCACCCTAGCCACACAGAGAGAATGGCCACACGGAGAAAGACTGAGTCAACGGTATATGAGAGGTCTTCCTGACTCTTCCAGCCAGTACAGCCATCGTCGAAGGCCAACGGAGTGAGAGCCCTCGGCCAACCGAAGGAAGGAAAATTATAGTTCAGGAAGGAAGTCTGAGCTCCCAAGCAGGTCCCCCGACACTCTGAGGCAAAGGTGAGCCACTTACACATTTCTGATCCTCAGACTTGTGAACAAAATGAAATAATTGCTGTTTTAAGGCACTTAATTTTGGGGTTGTTTGTTATGCAGAAATAGGTAACTGAAGCAGTCTTAATAAGCTATTGAGACTTACAGAGATGTATTAGGGACATGTATTTCATGAATGTATCCGAAAATATATAAATAGTTTTGGTTCAGAGAAGAAGAAAGTCTCTGCTAAGTCCCATAAATAGTAACAAATTATGAACTACAAATAAGTGTGAATTTTTATTTTACTCAGTTTTACTCTTGAGTCCTGCAATGTTAAATGTAACTTTCAGTAATAGAGTGTTCCCCTTTAAGTATCTCAGCTCTTCCATCAACTTGGAAACTTCTGTAAGGGAAGTTCACTAGCAAGTCCCTTTGGTCATGACCACAACCCGTTCGCCCTCGAGGGCAGCTCAGAAATTAACTAGTTCATAGTAGAAATAGACTCAGAGCCCTGGCTGGTTTGGCTCAGCAGTAGAGCATCAGCCTGCAGTCTGGAGAGACCCAGGTTCGGTTCCCGCTAAGGACATGTACCTCGGTTGCAGTTTGTCCCCGGCCCTAGTTGGGTTGTGTGGGTGGCAGCCACTCGAT